ATACACGCAACATAAGCACATAATTATCACATTTTAAAATCATATTATCCAGTATGAACATTACCACTATGCGTACATCTTTACTTTGACTTTTAAGATATACATAAAAATATTTGTATTATAATAGAGAAATAAAATAATTAAACATAGTATTTTAAGAAATATCTAAGATAAATCTAGTATATAACAATAACTATTAATTACTACTACTTATACAAAGCCTCATTAACGTACTTATCTTGGCAACTTTTTTACATAACAATATTTTATCTATACGAATAATTTACCTTAGATCGTTAATGCTATACTCATATTCGGACTGGCACATTCAATTTAATATTATTGCAAGTTTCAATTAATTACTTTTTCAAATTGTCAATCAGTTCAATAATCAAATCGGCCCAAATATCTATTGCAACCTTAGACCATTTTATGGTCTAAGATTGCAACATAATAAATAGGTCGAGGCAAAACAATCTTCGTATTTTGTTTGTATAAAATTGAAAAATCTCTTTGGTTGTACCGTTTGTATGATTTTAATATCAATACATATACGACATTAAGAAAAAGAAAAATAAGAAGTAAAAACCTCTTTCCCGCCATTTTTTTTTCGTTTTCAGCCACCAAAATGAGTGAATCTAACGAAGAACATTATCTTAAAAAAGAAATTCCGGGGAAACGGTCCATGGCAGTAAATATTTTTCACCACAGGTTATAGGCTCGAAAGTACAACACGATCCGATTCTTGGAGAAAATTGTTTCAGTTTATCGGTAGACTCACCTCTTCAGTTTATTAGAATTTTGTACATTTTGAATTCACATCCATCAAAAGGCAGGTAGTGCCGGTAAAAGATATTCTATATCTATCACCACATATCGTCCCATGGGTGTCGTAAGAGGCGACAGAAGGAAATGGAAACAGGTGACGGGCAGCAGCGTCTTTCCGATAACAACTTAGAATAATAAAAAACATGCGCAAGTGTCGTGGAACACTCGGTAAGAACGAAGTTCCTTTCGTAGTATATTATTATTGATAAACGTATAAATGAATTACAAGCGTATCTTAAAACGAAGCATCATTTAAAATAAAACAATATTTCTTTCATGGCAAGATAAGAAAAGTGTGAGGGAGATGGATATTATTTAATTTCGCTTCGCCGTCTACACTACGTCAGAAGGGGTCGTGACGGAAAAATCTTACAATTTTTCTCGCCTAGCCCCCATCCGCCAAATTCGTACCGTCTGATAAGGAACTTCGTTCCAGAAACTGCGTTTGACTACCCGCTCGCCAACCTTGTCAACTATGGCAAAACCCACCTTTGAGGCAATTTATGGGGGAGGCCTATGTTGAGCAGTGGACTTGTACATGCTGTACAGCTTACAATTATTTTAGAACTATCATGGTAAAGCTTCAGTTATTTTACAATAAAATAGTTTAGTGTACGACGGTTATTCCGTTGTATACACAAACTATTTTTTTAATTTTTTTGTTTTACAATAATTTTAATTCTTTTACAATAATTTTTCGATAGTCCTTTGAAGTAAAATGTACATCACTAGCTAACACACACAATAACAAATCAAAATTTGTCACGCATTTCCATACTGTCAGGTCGTCTATACGACAGTACATTCAAAGTATGGTCCTGAACTTTCACTCTCAAATTTTCACCTGTTTCGGTCTCTTCAGAATTTTTTGGGTAGTGATCGAAAATCCCAAGATTTCTACAGCAACGGGATTATGTCACTCTACCTACAAGATGGCAACAATTTATCGAACAAAATGGCACACATATATATTATATAAAATGTAATGAAACTATGAAAAAAAAATGTCTTGAATTTGTATATGAAATACGAAGAAACTTTTTCACCGGCCTTTTATGATTTGACATTTCAATCGGCTCCTCCAAACGGCAAAATGAATCCGGGTTTATTTGCTTTCCTTACGGCTAAATTTACAGCACGCTTTATTATTTAGAATTTCAATAAAATACTTTTTTACAGTGAAGGACAAAAAATATTCTTTACAGCTTTCTACTTTATGGAAATCCTTCGAAAGACAAATTTAAATCTAAGTTTATAAGTATAATTAAGTATGTACATTATATCATATTTTGATAGTTAGATTGAGATTATTTGCAGTAGCATAAAGGCACACAAAAACAAATTAATACATAGGCTAAAACTAAAAGTATCGGGAATGGAATATTTCCACTGTTCCTGTCATATTAAAATCTTTTTAATTGAAAAGTCCTTGGTTTTAAAAATCGAATACCATTTATTTATTTAAAAAAAGATTCTCGGTCTTGTCACAAGGTTTTGTCAAACTTCTTTAGTCGTTGAGAAAATGGAAATGACTCGAGAAAATTCAAGAGCGATGATTTATTATGACTTTCGAAGTGGTTTAACACATAAACACTGTGTTGACCGGATGATTACTGCATTTGGTGATGAAGCCCCATCTAAAACCACAATTTATCGCTGGTTTGCTGAATTTCAACGTGGACGTGTCAAGCTCAGTGATGATCCCCGTCAAGGTCGTCCAAAAACTGCAGTCACCCAAGAAAACGTTGATGCTGTGCGTAAGCTGATTGAGGAAGATCGACATGTGACATACCGCGAAATTCAGGCAACTTTAGACATTGGCATGAGTCAAATACAAATAATCTTGCATGAACAATTAGGTGTAAAAAAGTTGTTTTCCCGATGGATACCGCATTCGCTCTGTGAAGAACAAAAAGCGGCTTGCGTTATTTGGTGCGTCAGAACTCTCGAAAGATTCCACGCAGGATCCTCAAATGCTGTATACAACCTCGTATCAGGTGACGAATCCTGGATATACGCGTACGAACCCGAAACAAAAAACTAGTCACGAGTTTGGGTGTTCGAAAATGAATTAAAGCCAACAAAAATTGTTCGTTCAAGGAGTGTTTCAAAAAAAAATGGTGGCCACGTTTGTCTCCAAAACCGGCCATGTTACGACTATTCCTGTTGAGGGACAAAGAACGGTTAATGCAGAATGGTATGCTAGCATTTGTTTGCCACAGGTCGTTTCTGAACTCCGTAAAGAGAACTGCAACCGCCGCATCAGCCTCCATCACGACAATGCGAGTTCTCACACCGCACACAGAACAAAAGTTTTTAGAGCAAAAACACATAGAATTATTAGACCATCCGCCGTACAGCCCCGACCTAAGCCCTAATGATTTCTATACTTTCCCTAAAATAAAGAATAAATTGCGTGGACAGAGATTTTCATCACCTAAAGAAGCTGTGGACGCCTACAAAACGGCCACTTTGAAGACCCCAACTTCCGAATGGAATGGTTGCTTCAATGATTGGTTCCATCGTATGGAAAAATGTGTCAAATTTTGCGGAGAATACTTCGAAAAGCAATAAATATATTTTTAAATAGTAATGTTGTGTCACCTCCTTGATTCCCGAAATTTTCAGTGCCGCCCTCGTAGTATTCAGAATATTAAATATGTATGTAACAATTCAGTCGCAAGTATTCACATAATCAGTCCTACATAATGTAGAATGAAAAGCTTATCATATAATAAACATTTTGCAGTAAGTAGACATCGAAATGCTTATGAGTTATCCAATATAAATCAATTATTTCGCATTGGTGGTCGTAGTACTTGACTAGAAGTCGTACAGTCTGTCACTGGTGCAGAAATTAAGAAATTTAGTTTCAAACTTGTCATGTTATCTTTGATAATTATTATTTTCGTAATTTTGACCTACGTTGTCATAATTTTCCCGTAGTCTAAAAATGTCACACTACTTGAAACACACTTATTTTTAAACTATATTGCTTTTGTTACGGTTGCCTTTTTAGCTAATAATGAAATTATAGTTAAAAACCAAAACGATCGTTAGTGTTATTTTAAAATAAAATATAGTTGTTTTGCAGCCCCTCATTAAGATAAATAATGAAATATTACATTTCGGAAACATCAAGAGATAATAATAGGACTCTTTATATCGTTCCATAAATTAGCATGAAAAAAAAAACTCGATCGTACAAAAATGAGACGAAATAGTATTTTTGGGTTAATTTCTAAATAGTACGTTTGTACAAACCCTTGATTAGTCACGATTTACATCCCTAATGTTTATATTTCGCTTGCTGTGCTTATGAATTTACGCAATAAAGTTACTTTATATAGAAAACTAGACGTTCAGCAAAGTTTCTACATCAACAGTTTGCTACAGAACTGTTTTTTACATGATTTTTATACTTAATACGATCCATAATGGAAGCCACGTTTTTTTTTTATTGTAATGCTTAGGCATACTATATATCGTTAAAATCATATATAAATGTACTGCTTTAATTCGAATTTTTTATTCAATTAGTTTACAAATCGCAAATCACATCAGGTAAGTGTTATTTTCGTTGATATGTTGTACGTGTATACTACAATAAACACCGTTTCATTACAAACTAATTTGAACCTTATGTTTCGAGTCATTTCACTTTACATTCGTTTGCGTTTGAACAGTAATAACGATAACGTTTATTATGGTTTCGAATATGGTCACAACTTCCAAGCCTAAGAAGCTATGAAGGTCGCAAAACGTTATTATTATAGTGTCAAAAGAATACACGCAAACTCTAACGCACTCTCCCATTATTATTTTACCGTGTAATTTCGTTACAAACTCGACAATCAAAACATTAACGAAAGTGATAATTAATTACTATATTAATTTACTAGGTGATAGGGCTGCTTTTATCTAAGAGTACGTCTGGGTGGGTACCATCCATCCACAAGTACCATTTCTGTTACAAACAAATGTCAGATTAAAAAATATGAACAATAAACATTTGACTACTTATGTCTTCGCATCAATATTTTTTTTTATAAATGAAATAAATTGTTATTGTTAATAAAAATAATTGTTAATACGTTTAATGACTACAGCGTGACCGATCAGTCCGAGCTAGAGCTGGAACTTGACGGCGTGTAGCTGTAGTAGTCGCTCTGCTAGGCGGTGTTGATTTGTTCGACGTTGAGATGCGTGATGAAACGCAAACGCATCTGCAGAGCGGGGCGCAGCTTCCTTATCACGCTCTCCACTTCATTCTTCATTGTGTCTCCCACAAACATGTATTTTATGTGATAACTGTACATCGGCATTAAGAAAACTAAGGAGATATATAAAAATTTGCATCCCTTTTCACTGCAGGTTCTTTTCAACAAAGATTTTATATTCGCAAGGTGTGCTGATCTTTAAAATTCGTAAATTAAACTTAATATTGTTTATATTTGTGATTCCGATAACTGTGGAATTTAGTTGATACTTAATGGGAAATATATAATTACAATATTAGTGAATGTAGATATATATTGCACCTTACAAAAATATTTACTCTATTAACATTTATCCAGGGAGAAAAGAGAGGAATATGTTTGTATAAAGAAACACCGTTCGGATATCCAAGCGGTCTTCTTCTTCTTGATAACTGGCTTTACGGCTCTGGGATCTAGCCCTTCTGAGCCTGAAGTTACAATATCATATTATAATAATTATTCTTCATAGTATACTGCTTCACAATATGTTGATGCGTCACATTGTGCAGCCCTTGGGAGATTTTGACGGTAACTTGAGCCAGCAGATAGCTGACGGTTGGCGATGGTATCTCAAGGCGCCTAAGCAGACAGGCACCTTATTTTGAGAATCACATCACTATCAGAGCACTTGTTTCACAGTTTCCAATAATAGTTCACATGCGCAGATACTTAATACACAAAAACGCACCATTTTTTACATATCAAAGTCCACTTCAAACCATTATTTAAACAATAAAACAGGAGCAGCAAACCGCCGCCGGTCAAGTTCCCGCCAAAACTCCCCTTCAAGCGGTCTTAAGTGTATCAGTTGACAATTATGTCAATGAAAATACTTTTATGGGCTGTCAAAAGGTAAAGAAGTTGCATGAAAATATCGAAGAAAGAAAATGCAAGAGTATATTAATAATAACATTTTAAATCAATTTAAAAGGGAAACCGACCAAAATCTTAGACAAAAAGTAGTAAGTATAACTTGCTTGCTTTAGCTTGAATCTATTATGGTGTCTATGAAATTCAAGGTAAGCGTTTAGTCTTCCACCTTTCACAATTTAAAGTTTCCTGTTTGGGAAATAAGGTTTACACAATTAAAACTCCATAATTATATGATAATGTAAAAAGGATACAGCAAATCGCATATCGGATCGATATACTGTAAATGCTGCTGGGCCTTATCTATGTGTGCGAGTAGCTCGTACAGTGTGAGCGTGAGGTCCATGACAGCACGAGAGAGGTCCGAAAAACGTTGCAGGAATGGACCCACCAAGTGGCACAGGAACAGTAGCTGAGTTTCAGTTCTGATCTCCGGGGCCAGCTTCTCTTTTACGAACCTGGAATATTTACGTCGCAACTAGTTTTAAGATAATGCTTAATTATATTATGTATATTAGATTTTAGCTATGCAGTAAAAACCCAACCACAAAACTGCTTATATTACTTTAATATCATCTGGAACAAACGTTATTTATTAACTTAAATTTCTAATCTCTACATATAAAAAGCAATTGCTGTCGGTTAGTCTCGCTAAAACTCAAAAGCGGCTCGAACGATTTTGATGAAATTAACTGTGAGCGTTTGAGTGGGTCAACCGTGCGGAGCCGGGGCAGATTGCTACTTTTTAATAAAAGTATTATATAGCAAATACATTTAAAACATGAATACTAGGTTAGATGTAAATTTAAACAACGATATCTTGAACTAAATAAGTAATTGCTGTATTATTTCTGCATAAATCGAGCCAATTAAGATTATTATTGATGGCTTTAGACAAATCCGCTTAATCGATTAGAAAGGCAATAATGTTAATTAAATTGATATTATTTTAATAGCAACATTGTGATAATAACAACCGCCCGCGGATTAAGTAACCAGTGGGCAGATTAATTTATAGGCAAAGTAGGCAACTGTCTATGTTAAAAGCGAAGAATTTGTGTAGGATGTGGACAAAAATTCAAATAGCAGCGAATTAAATAGATCTATCAAGTAAGACATTACACTTTTATATCAATATGCGTGACAACCTTAATTTAAAGTACCATCCTCGATGTGTCCTGCTATACAAGAATTAATATTTAATTTTATTCGATTATTCGATATATTATTTCAAATGACTTGATGTTTCAAGTAACAGTAGAAATGCTATTCCAATATGTCTCGACGCAAAGTTACTTGCTTGCGCTAGTTATTTTCTTATATGGAAAACTCTGCAGGCAAATGTTCGGACGACCATATCTTTACTTTTTGAATTAGTGATAATATATATAATCATATATATCTTGATACAAATATAAAGGTTACAAATGGATCCTTTATAGATTAGTGAAGTAAATGAGCAAATTTAAAATTTTAAGGATTTTTTGGTGGTTTATTTTCACTTATCCACTACAAATTGAATGACATTTATTTTACAAACGTGACGAATCCTGTTACCTTTCTAAGAATATTTCGGACGTTGAGTACTGGAAACTCAACATTAAAATGGAAGGATAGTTTCTAATGTATTCAAGTGTATTTGCAAGCCGTGTGTAATTATTGCAGACTTGCTGGCGAAACGCTCAGAACCGTTTCGTTAGAGACAAATTACCTAACCTTATGACTATAGTTTAAGTGGGGAGTTAAGTGACGTGTGATGATGTTATATCTGAACTGGGAGTTTTGCACCTCTGCCAGCAATTGATTAGGGGTGACCGAGGTGTCAAGCGGATCAGTTTTGCCGTGTGCTGGCGGAGTAACAGAATCCATCAGCCCATTTCAGAGCTCTTCTTTTAGCACATCACTGTCAGAGATGAATTGAGGTAAAATTCTGGTTGAGTTTGAGAAGCAATTATGAAAGATTAATACGCGACCGGCACCCGAAACTTGAGTTGTATTGTGGTAATTATGGCTTCAACTGACTAATCACACTTCACACTTGTTCACTGACTGACACACGTATGAGAAATAGGTAGTTGGCTTGGATTCAGTGCAATTAATGTTAAAAAAAATTAAAGCTCCACATAAAACTAGAACCGAGTTTAAAAACAAATTAGTCGGACGTTTAATTAAATTACAAAAAATAATTTATTTTCTTAAAAATATTTTTTGCAGGATAGGTCTTATTGGGCAACCCTCATTATGACGGATTTTTTTTATTTTTTGGTCAACAACTGCCTATTTGTTTTTTTGGCGAAAATGCACTGAATCTAAATTTAGTCGAAAAAGCTTTTAACAATGGATTTGTCAAAATTTGTATATTTGAAATAATCCTTTACTTACGAAAAAATAAAGTAAAATTATATACAAAAGTTGCATTGTTTGTGGTCTTTTAAGTGTTATAAATCCCACCCTGGGTATAATGTTGTTGCCGTTGCTATGATTCTGTATCTGATATAGGCATTACATCTTAGTCCTCAGAGTTGACACCGCTTTTGTAGCCCTTTGTTTAAAATTGGTTGCACACGGGCTGCAACAGTCACTTACCATCAGATGGCAATAAGTTCGTTTGTCACTTCAGTTTTATAATTGACGACTCCGTGGCGCAGTGGCTTAGCAATGAGTTGTTGCGCTGGTGGCCGCGGGTTCGAATCCCGCACGGAACAAGTATTTGTATGGCCTACAAATAATTGTTCCGGGTCTGGATGTTTGTTCTCGTGCAATTTATGTTTGTAAACTGCCTCCACGACACAGGAGATAATCATAGTGTAGGGGTAGCGTTCTTTAAAAGAAAAAAAAAGAATTATATTAAAGAAAAAAAGCTAATATTTTCATTATTTATATTAATATACTTATAATTTTTTTACGTGGTAGAGCCATGCTGCAGCTATATTAGTAGTATAGTTGTAGCACGAATGGGTCGGCTCGACCGGGGAAGGACCACGCTCTCACAGAATACCAGCGTCAAATAGCAGCTTAACACTGCTGTGTTTCGTATGGTGAGTGTAGAGTACTGGAGACCATTTTTACTGGAAATGAGGCATTCCATCATAGTCCTCACGGGTGACAACGCATCTGCATTCTGATTTGTAATCGAGAATAGATGTGGATGTCTATGGGCCGCAGCAACCACTTACCATCAGGTGGATTGTGTGCTCCTTTGTCACCCATAGCCTATAAAATAAAAATTCATAAAATCAAATTATGCAGAACAAAATAAATTGTGAGAAAACTTACTGAGGAACTTGCATGATCTGTCCAGCGCCTGCATGATACCAAATAGCGTGTACTAATGCCAACGTCAAGCTGTACTTATTTTCTAGCATCGCATCGTTTGTTGTCGTCAGATTGAACAGCTGGAAGGGCGTATGAGCGAACGGCCATTCCATCATTTCATTGCTCACTGTCAGCTCGAAGATACGGTCGTGTAATACAGTCCAGTATGGATCAGGCAACGCAGCCATTATGAGTCCTATTGCGTTGATCCAGAGTTGGATTTTCATTGGCGGTATCACGACGAAGCCTTTTGTGATCACGTCAAGCAAGCTGTTACCCACGGAGTTTGGAGCTAGTGGCAGGGACATGAGTTCCACGCATGTCACATATAATGAGTGGGCCGAAGGATTCGGGTATTCGTTGAATCGCCAGTCTGTGTTCGGGAAATGGGGGTGTCCTGTCATAGCTGATTTACGTTTAAGGGAACATATTATTTTACCAAGATAAAATGAATATTAAAAAAAATACGAAATAATTTTGATGTTTTGTTGATAGAATTTATAATTTCAAACATTAACATGCATATAATTAAGATTGTAGTGGCAGCAAAGGTGTATTAACCACCCTATATCGTCACGAAGTATCGTAAGAGGCGACGGATGGTATCTTAAACACGAGATGGGCAGCAGCATATTCAACTCGAAGTAATAAAACACTGCGGTAGCCAACCCGCCTGCCAAGTGTTGATACTATGACAAAATCCCCCTACGGAGCAATTTATGGGGGATGTGTGGAAAAATATATGATACATATTTCTAAATAAAAATGTCTAAACCTTTTCACAATTGCAGCAAAATTGACTGAGGAAACACTAATAACCAAAATAGCCGAAACAGCTGCTATTCGTTCTTGTATAGCAGATGTTTCGGCTCGCCGCTCACTAAGCGGTCAGCCATCGCAGAGTCTACTTCACCTGAGGATGCATCGTGTAAGGCGAAACACGTGTCGTATTATCGATGGTGGTATATCATTCCTAGTGTAGTGATGGTAGAAGTAGTGGTGCTGGGATGTGTGGTAACAGGGATAGTGCACGCAATTGATTTTTTGAGTGCTCTATGCCTGATTGATTCACACGGCGCTCGGCAGGCAAAGCACTCCCCTCCCTGGACATACACAAGTCGATTGGGCCTCACGGAATCCCGCCAATTGTGTTGAGGATGTGCGCTCCAGAGTTAGCACCGGTTCCAAAGCATCTTTTTCGGTACTCCCTAGGCATTGTCTCAAATTCATAGAAGACAGCTTTCGTGCACCCGATCCCTAAAAAGGTAACCGCTCTGATCCGTCCAACTACAGGCCTATCGTTATCACCTCCTTGTTCTAGAAAATAATTATAAAATGCCAACTCATGCGGTACCTTGAGGATCACCAGCTGATTAGTAACCGCCAGTACGGTTTTCATCGGGGCCGCTCAGCTGGTGATCTTCTTGTTTACCTAACACATAGATGCGCGCAGGCCGTCGAGTTCAAGGGGCAAGCATTGACCGTTAGTCTGGCACAAAGCGCTTCTTTCGAAGCTTCCTTCCTATGGGCTTCCCGAGAAATTTTGCAATTGGATTACCAGCTTTCTTGCAGATCGGAGCATCAAGCTCGTTGTAGACGGTGCATGCTCCAATTACAAGCCTCTTCACCAATGCTATTTCTTCTGCATATCAATGATATGGTAACATAATTGCTATGCGGATGATAGCACTAGTGATGCTCTATACACCGGCCGTGCTAATGTTTCTCGGAAAAACGTCGCCGAGTACCGGAACAAACTTGTGTCTGAAGTCGAGTCTTTGCTGAACAAAGTCTCGGATTGGGGGCGACTAAATCTAGTCCAGTTTAATCCTCAGAAGACACAAGTTTGCGCGTTTACCGCTAAAAAGAACCCCTTTGTCGTATATCCTCAGTTTCAAGGCACTACCCTTCTTGCCTCAGCCAGTACCGGAATCCGCGGAGTCGACATATCGAGTGACGTGCAGTTTCGTGGTCACTTGGAAGTGAAGGCCAAATTGGCCTCTAAAAAGCTTGGCGTGCTCAGCAGAGCGGGACACTATTTCATGCCGGCACACCGCCTGCAACTTTACCAGGCGCAGGTTCGGCCTCACATGGAATACTGTTCCCATCTCTGGGCCGTGGCACCCCAGAGCCAGCTCCTTCCACTTGACCGCATCCAGCGCAGAGCGATTCGAATCGTCGACGACCGAGTTCTTTCCGATCGGCTTGACTGACTGGCACTGCGTGGAGATGTTGCATCTCTTTGCGTATTTTAACGCATCTATGATGGGGAGTGCTTTGAGAAATTTGTTCGGATTAGTTCCAGTCGCTCAATTTCACCATCGCACATCGTGACAAAACTCGCGATACCATCCATTGCATATGGATGATTGGCGGTCCACCACTGTGCGATTTAGAAGTTTTCTTCTTCGCACAACTTCCTTGTGGAATCGATTACCACCAGCGATTTTTCCGGACCAATACGACTTAGGGACCTTCAAGAGCCTCCTCCTTTTTAAAAGGCCGGCAACGCATCTGCGATTCCCCTGGTGTTGCGGTTGTTCACGGGCGGCGGTAGTCACTTACCATCAGGTGAACCACATGCTTGTTCCCCTTCTCTTATAAAAAAAAATTGAGGGAGAGCGGGAGGTGCTCTTCACATTACGTATGACACAGTTATATTTTATTGAGCGAATACAGTCGAAGTAAATGTTACTAACTTCAATATAATGGGTTTCCGCAAAGTAACGCCTGATTCTATTAATTATTAAAAGGATACTGTCTACCATTCTGTTGACGAGACTCAGATAGTAGTTCAAGTCCGGAGCCCAGCCAGTAGCTTCTACGTCTGTCTTGGCCAGGTAGGTCTGGAAGGTCTCCGTAGTGGCCCAGCCAGCGGGCCTCACTTCCTTTAGCGAACCGAGCACCGCGTTCACAAGTTTACGCTTCAGAAGTGGCTTGTCGCGAAGTTTCGCCTCGTAGTAATGCAGTGTGTTGTATAGGAACGTGACCGGGCGGTCTGGAAATAACGGCGAGCGATGTTACGGTTACGTTACACAGTAAATTATTAGGTACCAACAGTATAACAGAAGAATGAGCTGGAGAAAGAAGTTCGTTCATCATTCATTGGTATTGCAATTCTCCAATATATTTCAGCCTACTTAATAGAGAAATAAAAAGGTATATGACTAAATCTTGTATTATTTTTTTTATTATTGTGCAAGTCTATACTAACTACCGCCACATTTAGCACATGGAAATAATAACACAAGCCTTGTATTTTTCTAGCTGCTCCTTTGGCCATCAGTTCCAAATATTTTTAGGAAGTTCTATTTCAACTTGTATTTCTATTCCCTTGCTTATATACAATCTGTTATTAGCACAGCGAGATTCAAAATGTTATAAGTTATATTACAACAAAAATATTGAAAGTCATTTATACAAATTATCTATCTATTATAATTTAACGGTGGTAGAGCCACGCAGCAGTTTTTTTGCTGTTGCACGTATGGGCCGGCTCCAGCCGGGTTGGTACCACGACCTCACAGAATACCGGCGTGAAGTAGAAGCTCTGCTTCTGCGATTCATCTGGTGAGTGCAGGTGGCCGGAGGCCCAATCCCCCCCCCCCCCCCCTTCCCATCAACATGGTAGCGGAATTACACGTTAGACTACCCCAGGAGGGTCCCTCGCTGAGCATCTACGACCATGTTATTCCACTCCTGAGCGTGGGTGCTCAGGTTGCCCCGCGTATTCGGGGGGGGGGGGGGGGGGGGGGGGGGGCAAAATTCCGCTCAAAAACATAACTAAGCTCGGGGCAAACTGAGCAAGAACACCAAGGCGAGCCCTGCCACGCTAAACGCCGAACCGAACGGCGAAGCCGGCCTTGCTCTTTCTGACCAAGACGCAGGTTTCCTCTCCGGTTGATATTTTGTATCTCTCCTGCCCGGGGTACAAATTGGAGCACTCCTTTGTACCTAGGGCTGGAGTTTGCGTGTATGTCAGAGAGGACATCTGTTCTCGACGACTCGGCAGTCTTGAAGGTACGGACCTGTCCATCCTTTGGCTACGCGTAGACAGCGACGACCATCCGCGCGTCTACGGGTGCCTCTATAGATCCCATAGCGGTAATGCCGAAACAGACCGACTCATTGACCACGTCCAAATGGCTACAGATTCCTTGCTACAACAGGTCCCATCCGCAGATGAGATCCTTGGCGAGATGAGATCGTGATCCTTGGCGATTTCAACGCCCACCACGCCGAATGGCTCGGTTCACGTTTAACCGATCATGCGGGGAGATCTGTTTATGACTTTGCTTTGGCATATGGTCTGACACAACTGGTTACTTCGCCTACGCAGATTCCAGATGTGGATGATCACACACCTTCCTTGTTGGACCTTCTGCTGACCTCTCATCCGGACGGATATCAGGTTTCCGTCGATGACCCTCTCGGCTGTTCGGACCATTGTCTGATCCGGAGTGTGGTGCCACTCACGCTCCCCTCGCGGTTGCGTTCTGCAGGTTGCCGCCGTGTTTGGCATTACAGGTCAGCGGATTGGGACCGAATGCGGTCTTTCCTTGCATCCTACCCGTGGTTTGCTTCTCGCCGGATGATCCCAGCGCTGTTGCTGACTCTGTCACTGACGTGGTGCTACAGGGAATGGAACTATTTATTCCATTATCTGTGGTCCCCATCGGAGGCAGATCTCAGCCTTGGTTTGATTGCTCCTGTAAGACTGCATTACGCAGTAAGCAGGAGTGTTATCAAGCCTGGGCTGCGGCTTCGGCGACTCGGGATGTAAACACCAGCACACTTAAAAAGAAGTATAACTTCGCCTCCAGGTCCTTCAAAAGAGTTATTGCCAAGGCAAAGTCAGAGCACATAGGCAGAATTGGCGAGAAACTAGTTCGCTTTCATTCGGGAACCCGTGCATTCTGGTCTCTCGTCAAGGCTGTCGAAGGGAATTTCTGTAAGCCGTCACTACCATCTCTGCACAGGGAGGACGACTCACTGGCCCAAGACGCAAAAGACAAAGCCGACCTTTTAGGCTCCCTTTTTGCTTCCAACTCGACTCTTGATGACGGGGGGAAAACACCGCCGACCATCCCGCGGTGTTTGTGCTCCATGCCGGATGAGCTGTTCTCACAGCGCTCGGTTCGCAAAGCACTCCTCTCCTCACTCAGTCGAGTGGGCCTGACGAAATCCCCCCAATTGTGCTGAGGACGTGTGCTCCGGAGTTGGCACTCCTACTTCCAAGGTGTAGTCCCGAATTCATGGAAACAGCTTTTGTCCACCCGATCCCCTAAAAAAGGCGACCGCTCAGACCCGTCCAACTATAGGTCTATCGCGATCACCTCCTTGTTCTCCAAAATAATGGAAGCAATTATTAATAATAAAAGAAAACGTCACCGAGTACCGGAACAAACTTGTGTCTGAAGTCGAGTCTTTGCTGAACAAAGTCTCGGATTGGGGGCGACTAAATCTAGTCCAGTTTAATCCCCAGAAGACACAAGTTTACCGCTAAAAAGAACCCCTTTGTCGTGTCTCCTCAGTTTCAAGGCACTTCCCTTCTTGCCTTAGCTAGTATCGGAATCCTCGGAGTCGACATATCGAGTGACGTGCAGTTTCGTGGTCACTTGGAAGAGAAGGCCAAATTGGCCTCTAAAAAGCTTGGCGTGCTCAGCAGAGCGGGACAGTATTTCATGACGGCACACCGCCTGCAATTTTACAAGGCGCAGGTTCGGCCTCACATGGAATACTGTTCCCATCTCTGGGCAGTCCCCCCTCCCCAGTGCCAGCTCTTTCCACTTGACCGCATCCAGCGCAGAGCGGCTCGAATCGTCGACGACCGAGTCCTTTCCGATCGGCTAGATTCATTGGAACTGCGAAGAGATGTTGCATCCCTTTGCATTTTCTTTCGCATCTACCACGGGGAGTGGAGGAATTGTTCGGATTAATCCCAGCCGCCAAATTTCACGAACTCCCGATACCATCCACACCATCTGGATGATTGGCGGTCCACCACTGTGCGATTTAGAAGATGTATTCTTCCTCGCACGACTTCTTGTGGAATCGATTACCATCAGCGAATTTTCCGGACCGATACGACTTAGGAACCTTCAAGAAAAGAGCTTACACCTTTCTAATAGGCCGGCAACACATCTGCAATTCCTGGATCTATTGATTCTTCTGAGCTACTTACTCACATAATGATTCGGACCGATTTAATGAGATTTAATTTAATTTAATCTGCGATTCCCTCCCTGGTGTTGCAGCTGTTCATGGGCGGCGGTAGTCACTTACCATCAGGTGAGCCGCATGCTCGTTTGCCCCCTCTTCTATAAAGAAAAAACCTCGGTCACCCCTAATCAATTGATGGCAGAGGTGCAAAACTCCCAGTTCAGATATAACATCATCACACGTCACTTAACTCCCCACTTAAACTATAGTCATAAGGTTAGGTAATTTGTCTCTAACGAAACGGTTCAAAGCGTTTCGCCAGCAAGTCTGCAATAATTACACACGGCGATTTTTCCGGACCGATACGACTTAGGGACCTTCAAGAAAAGAGCGTACTCCTTTTTAAAAGGCCGGCAACGCCTCTGCGATTCCTTCCCTGGTGTTGCGGCTGTTCATGGGCGGCGGTAGTCACTTACCATCAGGTGAGCCGCATGCTCGTTTGCCCCCTCTCCTATAAAAAAAAAATCTAAAAATAAAAAACAATAAATAATACCTCATATACTATTTCTGGCGGCACATACTTGACCAAAATCACTTGTAAACACAAAATGACAGACAATGAGACAGCTAAATGAGTGGATTACGTGTCATAAAACAAAAACTTTATATCTATTTTTCAATCCCAGAAATCAGTTTCTTGAAATCCACCACCCACTTCGTCCTTCCTGTGTGAAGGCTGAAATTCCCAGTTTGTTTTATCTGTTTTTTTTTTCTTTTAAATATACTAAAAGAAATGATAATCATAACTTTTAACAAAAAGTAAAAACCGACTTCAAATTGCTCAAGAAAGAAATTATTTACCCTTAGGAGTGAAATTTTTTCCTATTTTATATGGGAGCACCGTATAACCTCTTCAATAAAAAAAGAATCATCAAAATTGGTTCACAATCTGCGAAGATATCGCGTAATATACATACATAAAAAAAAACAATCAAATTAAGAACCTCCTTTTTGAAGTCGGTTAAAAAACAGAAGTTTAAGAAAAAATAAACATCAAATTTAAGTCATTAGTTCTTTCAGTCAAGATGATCGATTATCAAAACAATGAAATCGGCCGAAAACGGCTTACCATGGAATTTGTACAGGTACCCAAGATGCTCGAGGAGTTGCTCCAAATTTTTGCTGACTTGTGGTATCTCCAGATGTCGATGGACCACAACGTCTAAAACTGGTATGAATCGGAGGCACACGTTACTAAGGTACACCGGTATGGTGCCACCATAAGCACCACTCGCTTCCTCCGGTGCAAATTTCTCAGGATATTTTCTGTGGAATGCCAAGTGTTTGTCGTACCTAAAAAGAAACAGAATATAAGCAGTTATATTTAAAATACTTTAATTATTTTACGTTTACTAGTGTTTTAAAAAAGGTCAGTATATTTGTTTAAAATGATTTTTTTTTGAATTTACTGAAAATATGACTTCATTAAATATGGCATAAATGTTTGAAGTCACAAAGGTGTGAGCTCGGGTAGACTCCATATCGCCCCTGACTCTTTCGCGGCAAAGTAAGCATTGAATACCATCAGCATAATAAGTAAACGCAAAAAAATTGGATGCAGTGAAGTAAGCAATTTAATGTTTATACAAACTTACTTATAAGCAGAAGTGTGTTAGTACTCATATTGCAAGTCCACTGCTGAACATAGGCAACCCCCAAAGGTTCATCATTAATATAGACTAAAAATAGGAATGGGCCCAGAAATGAGCCCTAATGAACACCCTTTAGTACAGGTGACCCGGAAAACGGATTTACGTTCGTTATGTAGATAATAACTTTCTACGTTCTATTACTTCAGTATGAAATAATAAGTTTAAGCGCTATGTTCTTGACACCATAGGGTTGTAGCTTTCTGATTAATGTCTCATGGTGAACACAGTCGAAGGCCTTGGGAAAGGTCGCAAAATATACCCAAAGCGTTCTCTGAAGCGTTTACAAGTATCCCTTGTTATTTTTCATAAATAATCATTTGAGCCTGACTGAATGACAAACATAGACACTTTCACATTTATATAAATACAAATAAATGTCTTCACATAACGTTTTTCAGACAACTTTTACGATACTCACTGTTGAATTCAAGGGTTGTACAACTGAATAGCGACAACACATTGTTTGTAAAACTTGGTTTAATTTAAGATTTAATTATAGCCAATAAAAATTACTATGTAAATTATGCCAAATATTATATAGAGATTTTCTCACCAATTATTTTGCTTCCAGTGCTCCGGCGAATTCTCCTTAACAAAGTCCTGTGCCCTGTTCCTCAGCTCAGAACCCTTCAGCAACAACAGCTGAATGATGTACAGACACACTTGGCTTTCGTTGCCGTCAATGTTTGGTCGCAACACCTTTATAAGATAAAATGTTATCTTAGTTATCAGAATAAAGTGATTACAAAAGGTTTATGTGGGTGAAAATTCTATTAATTAAAAGAAATAAAATATAATACATTAGATACAATACAACAAAATCGAATTTAAATTATATCTAATAATTTAAAGCTGAATGAATGAAATTATATATATGCTGTATAAATAAAATGAAGCTCAATTGTTTCATTTATATATTATATATTGATATATTTGATCAAAAACTTTAAACTGAACATGAAAATGAGCCCTAAAATCTGTAATAGAATACTATTCACTTCATTTTGGTCTTATTTCAACTTAACCATTATTATAAGTTACACTGTACAATTACATACTTGGTAAGTGTAACCAATAGAAGGTTGAAAATTGACTAATGTGTGAGTAATTTTGTTCCCTGTCCTAAGATTTTCGCGAGAATTACCATGACAGATATCAATAATTCAACTACACTTCACTAACACTTATTCTCCAAAACAATATCGATAAATATGAGTATATACTGAGGTAATAATATCTGTAGATTGTTAGACAACATTAGGTAGTGTAAAGGAAACTAGTTTTTTTTTTTCGAATTTTATCGCGTTCACTAACTTATTGTATACTCCCGAAGTTTCATGTAATTTTTGTCATGTCACCCATGCTCACGGGGCCAGTGTGCATCAGTACAAGTGCAGTATAAACGCTATAAAATCCGTAAAAAAAATAGTTTTATTCATATGTTTAGTGTTTGCAAAAACATAAGAAATCATTTCAGTTCAGTCATCATCGTCATCATCATCACAGCCCTTCACAAGTTCACTGCTGAACATAGGCCTCCCCCAAGGAATGCCACAAAGCACGGTCCTGATCCACCTGCATCCATTGACTTCCTGCATGTCTTAAACAGGTCTTCACTCCATCTAGTGGGGGGTCGTCCTGCACTTCACCTACCGGTACGAGACTGCCACTCAAGAACCTTTATCCCCCTCGGTTGTATACGGTCTTCACTGCTGGCCGTATGAGAACGTTCAATGTCGCTCAGCGAGCTATGGGGAGGGCTATGATCGAGGTTTCCCTGCGTGATAAACTTAGAAACGAGGATATCCGCAGTAGAACCAGAGTGACCGACATAGCCCAACGGATTAGTAAGCTAAAGTGGCAATGGGCCGGTCATTATTCAGTAGTGTGTTTAAATTATGCCTATAAAATAATTTAAAAATGTACTCACCAGGCATAGCACCAAACGGTCGATAGTAACAATGTTGTACTTCCATACGATATCGTTGATCGCCTCCACACACTTATTGATGTACTGCCCGCCTGCCGGGTTTGTCACCTCGTACATCAGATAGTCGCAGAACTTGCGCAAGTGCGCCGATAGAGCACGGGCCCCGATGCGCTCAAGTATTCTGGAAATAATGGGTTTTTTTATCATTATAGAGGTTAATAATTATAACAAAACAGATATTGCTTGAAAAGGGAAGGATATACTCACTTGAAAGCAATGGGATTTATCCTATTGGTCTCAAAGATCATCTTCCACAGCAGACAAAGAAACAGTGGAGTACCAGGGACGGAGAAGTGCGACACTATATCGTTGTCGTTCGCCATTGAGGACCACTTGCGGTATTCCTCATCGACGAACTTCTTTAGCAGCTGCTTGTTTTCTTTCGGCGCTGGATTCTTTAAAGATAATTTGAAAACTTTACAGTTTAATGTTAGTTATTTATAAATTCGAGGATAACAAGCGAGCACATAGTTCACTGGATGATAATTGGATGATGTAGCATATAGTCACCTACATCCATAAATGCAGATGCGTTGCCACACCTGAGGTCTGATGTGTGATATAATGTTCGTCCTTAATAAAAGAGGTCTTAGATTCTCGTCACTCACTATACACAAATATATGTAGCAGCATATATGCAACAATATATGTAGCACCTATTTACCGCGCGTGTAGTTCTTCCCCGATCGAGTCGTTATCGTAACAGAAAACTGTAGCATAGATCTACCAAGTAAGGTATTAATATATATATATACAAAATGTTTTATAAATTCGTTTTGAATTTTATTATAAGCCCGTACACTGTATAATATGTGCCCGTAAACATAATTAGCGGAAAAGACATTCTCTCATGGCAGCGTGATCACTGCTGCTATGCTGTAATTAATGAATGATTAATGAAAATTTCATCATTATCATAAACTATTATAAATAAAAATTCAAGATAAAGAAGTCTATATAAACAATATAATATGGTTTGCACGATTTGCCGTAATCTCTACAGTGTGTCAAAAGAGAATGCCCACTGACCTCTATATATATAAGTCAGTAAGAATGCCCATAAAGCATTATATCATGCAAAAGGCCTATTATGTCAGGTTTGGATAACTTGTGTCTGTACTAGATATTATAGTATCGAAACAAATTATTATATTGTCATTTACTTGTGTCAAGTAAATGTTGCGAGCTAGTAGAAACACCATTTTCTATCACTTTACTAAAATTCATTTGATCGTAAAAAATAAGCCCATGAGTCAATTTGCTACTCTTTTTGTTCATTCATATATGTATGGAAAGTGAAATTTCTCTTAAATATTTCAAAACCTGGTTGAAAATATTTTTTGCTAGTTATAAGTAAAATTATATTCTTTAAAAATAAAATAAACATCAAGACACAAAATGATTTCTTATATTTACGCGAACACTGCACATTTAAATAAAACTAATTTCACGGATTTTATCGCGTATATTAACTTATTTTATATTCCTTGTTCACAGACTGCAGACTTCCACCTTCCACAGTGAACACGTACAGGATCGCCCCCGTCACTAAATTAGGTTTGATAGACCACAAATCCTCGCTAAAGAACACCGATTCCTTCAAATGACGATTCGCGAGGCTATTGAAATCAAAAAACATCCTAATTTCAATAGAGAAGATGGCTGGGTGCTACCATCTGCTTGGGATCCCATAATTAATAAAATTAAATCCCAACCCAAGCATACAATTGTAAGACTTCAAGATACTGTAAGTTCATATTGCGTAGATCGGAACAAAAATTAATAATTTTTAATCTGGAGGTAGCCATGGTTAAATATGACATTGGGACGTTATACACCTCAGTCCCCGCCACCCGTGACCATGGGTGATGGAAAGTGCTCGAAACGTCGGGAATATAAAATAAGTTAATATACACGATAAAATCCGTGAAATTAGTTTTATTTAAATCAAGGCACAACACAATTTTTAGTGGGCCAACTCCCGTTAGTAAAATGGGCCATCTCCTTTCTGTCTGTTATAATTTTTACCTGTGCAAAGAACTCCACAAGCACAGGCGGGAAGCACTGCAATGTGTGTTGCGACCACATGTGAGGAGTGTTTGTCATTATGGTGGTCAGGAGCTCCTTCACTGCGGCACTATCGCTACCTGATGCCAAACAATTCATAGTTTTACAAATATACACAACCATTTAGACTTAGATCAATCATAATGTAATAGATTGAAAAATTGCAAACTGCTACAGAAAAATGATTAAGCCAAAAATTGGACCTTATTAAGTCCACTGTTGAACATACACCTTCCTCAAGTAATGCTACTACTTAGCAAGGGCCTGGGCCACAAAAATCACAACACTCAAAAATTGTATAATGTACAACCTGCTTTCATACAAATCAGTTCCTTTCATCAACTTGGAACATTTTAGTTCATTTTAAATACTTCAGTTTATCATTCATAAAATCGTTGAATTGCATCACCGCACCGGCTTAAATGTAGCCTTAATTACTTTCACCCTCAGTTGCAGCCTTGCAGATTAGTTTAATTTTTAATAGTATCCGATAATTATTTGGAGATTTTAGTATCCTAAGAATGAAACGTAAGAGTTTTATGGATTTATAATAAATATAAATAATTTAACAAATATTACATGACTCACCAGCACCAGTCATATGAATGCCTCTCGCTAGTGTCAACACCAGCACTCTATTGAGCTCTTCGCTATCAGCTGACACCAAAGACTTAGGTTCAGACACTACTCGAGACATCTGCAGCTGCACACCTGAACTGCCCAAACTTGTAATCAAGCGTAACGCCGTGCTTTCGAAACTGAAATATAATATAATAATAGTAAATTATTCGGGATTTACCCAAAAAAAAAAAACTTGGGTAATCAAGTAATTACTAAGTAAGCGTGGGTTTAATAGTTTTTTGGGATGGCCCATATGAATAAATTTGATTTATTTGGCAGAAGAAATACACCATAGGTATGTTTAGCCAACCGCAGTTGGCTGCAACTAATTGTAGCTAGCGAGACCTAGGCTTATGGCACTGACTTTTAACCATAAAATTTATATTTTAATGGCTTGTGGCAGCATATTAAAACCAATTACGCTGTAGAATTCTCTTTTATATTGCATATCTCTGTGGAATTAATATATATAATTGACAGAATGACACTTACCATAACTGCAGCTGCGTTTGATTGGCCTGCGGATAGGCGGCGAGCGAATGTATATGGGACAGCAGTGTCACCCTGTAGTGGGGTTGGATGTGGTGAATACGGTACGAAAACATATCCAGCAGATTGTGCAGGATACCCCACGCGTGAGATTTGAACACGGTCGGCAGCAACTGGTCTGTTAAATTCATTCGTTTTTAATTATATTATTGCAATGTTAAGCTCCTTGAATTTAGAAAAGTGTAGAATTCAATTCTATCATAAAATAGCAGATGGTTTTATAAGGGTCAGTGGTATATATAATAAATACCATTGAATAGTAATAATTAACCATGTCAAAATATAAGCACTATGAGACGTAATATAATAACTAACTGCAATACTTTTTTTATAGGAGAGCAAACGAGCATGCGGCACACCTGATGGTAAGTGACTACCGCCGCCCATAAACAACTGCAACACCAGGGGAACCAGGGGAATTGCAGATGCGTTGCCGGCCTTTTAAAAAGGAGTAGGCTCTTTTCTTGAAGGACCCTAGGTCGTATTGGTCCAGAAAAATCGCAGATGGTAATCGATTCCACAAGGAAGTCGTGCGAGGAAGAAAACATCTTCTAAATCGCACACTGGTGGACCGCCAATCATCCAGATGGTGTAGTCATCCACACCATCTGGATGATTGGCCTGATGGATTGATACCATTATCGGAAGTTCTGCCGCGATGTGCGTTCGTGAAATTTGGCGGCTGAGATTAATCCGAACAATTCCTCAGAGCACTCCCCGTGGTGAATGCGAAAGAAAATGCAAAGGGATGCAACATCTCTTCGCAGTGCCAATGAATAGAGCCGATCGGAAAGGTCTCGGTCGTCGGTATGGTGCACTATTTGGTGTACTATACTTGGTGTACATTGGTAAGCATATATAGTTTTAGAATAATGTCGTGTGAAATTGGGTGGCGAAAATGTGTGGCATTACGGAACATGTTTTTAGGTAAGAACACTACAAAATTGGTAGTTTTATACAAATAGAGGTTAATTAATAATGAGGTTAAAAACCTATAAATAATATGTTCCATAATAAAATAAATTATCTACCTTCCTGTGAGATAATTTATGTTTATAAAACATTTTTCATCAACGTTTGATAGAAGGCTCAGGACTGTGTCATTCTTCTGCCTTGTGGCATTTCTTGGGGTAGCCCTATGTTCAACAGTGGACTTGTGAATGCGTGCAATGATCATGATGACAATGATAAGTAGGTAGTTTGGAACATTTTAGAAAAATAACTATATTGCCATATATATGACATTTAAATTCGATTCTGCAATTATACAATAAAATGAAAATCGTTAATTGCAAATTGCAAGTAAACCAAAAACTACACTTACTAATGAATCCTTTAATGCCTAAGGACTCGATCTCGGTATAAACTAGCAATCGGCTATAAGTCTCCACAAGTGCAGGTGCCATCATACTACTGCCAGGTATATTTGTCTTGTTCTGGGCCAACTTTGCTACATGGGTAACTATAGAATGTATCAATGACATCTTGCAATGCAAAGTCAAACTGTCCAGAATGCACATAGACAGTGGCACAGTGGGAAGAGGCGTAGCGGGGTTGCCATTAGGCAGGGATTTCTGACTACCAAACAGTGTTTCTATTATGATACCCATCGGCCTCGCGTAATATTCCTGATTTGTTGAGTATGCGTTACACAGAAGCGCTATACGATAGTCGGAGCCCATCAGGGTCGGTGTGTTGTTTGAAGTCATGAGGTGTTGCAGAAATCTGTTGGAATATAATAATTACAATAATTTTAACCTTTAGAGAAAGAAATCTATTAAATGATTTTTAATTTTAGAAGTCGATAATTGTGTCATAAATGAATATTGTAAATTAATTGGACTATTAGCATGTTTAAGAAATATGTAAATAGAAAATTTTCACGTATTTCGTTTTGTGTTCTCTTTCAGCTAAACACAATGCATTGTAGTTGTTAATTTTAGAAGTGCATCAAAACGAATATTGACTATGCACATTTAATTTGAATATTTTAATTGCCTTTTATATATAGTTAATGTTATTAACTTACTCATATTGCACTTTTAGGTTCTGTGGCATTGACATAGTCTTATGTTCAGTCTCTGCTTTCTTAAGTAAGTGCATCCAAATGCATACTACAGCCATTTGATGAGTACAGTGCGCTCGTGTACAGTCCGGAACAGGCAATGGTTCCTTCTCGGGATACAATAATTCATGCAATTTAATTATAGGCAAGAAATTCGATAGTGGATTTCTCTGTATGCTTCCAGAAATAAATTGTAGAAGAACCCACATGAGATGGTCTCTACCTTTCTTCATGTCGTGACCTACTAATTTGTTGTGGAGTCCCATAACAATGTTTGGGAAAGAAGCAAACCCAATGAGAATTAAATAAATAACTTGTGACGAAAGGTGTAACCAGCACCAGTGTGTAGAGGACATTTCATCATCCTCATTCTCTTGCTCACTTTTCTCCATTGGCAAAATCATCAGTTCAACTAGTTGATCTTCAAGTGCTATGCAGCGCTGTTTATGTTGCTTTTGTAAGCCCAGCATCGAACACATCATATCTCTAGAATAAGGCTGTTGGAGAACATGTCTCAATAATGCTATTTGTGGCTTAAGAAGTTCCTCGTCGTAAGGTAGGTTGCCTTTTAGCGAAAATTTCAAAGTAGTAGGATCCAGCCGCCAAGGGTTCACTAGATGATCGGCATAGCCGGAAAATTCAACTACAGGAAGCATATGCGAATGTCCCATTATGGAGACCATTTGGGCACAAGGTTTAAAACTCTCGACGAAACTTGTTAATAGTTTTGCCAGTTGCTGTAATGAAATGAGAAAAATTAGAGCAAAGTGTACCAACTCAAACTGAAACATGAAAATAAAAAAAGATCCATATGAGGTTTCAGTAAATATATTAAAAAAATTGTTCTAATCAAAAAATAAATTATAATTTTCTTTAAAGTATTGTTAATTTATTTATTCAACTTTTCTTTATATACTAAAACCAATTTTTTTATGAAAGAGTCAGACCTGCTCCAAGTACTTATTTACTTACTAGTTGTTCTATAGATGTAAGAAGGAAATGAATAAACAATATTATGTATCATAATTATTGAGAAGACTTATTATTAGTATAGATTAAAGTAATTATCACTTGTCTCATAGTAAGCATTACAATATTAACACTTACCCAATGTGGCCAATGATTGTTGTCGGGATAGTCTTTCTGAATTTCTGTTACTATAAAATATGCAGGCAACAGTGAAGCATTTCGATCAAATATGTACTCTATAACATTATATAAAGCTTTCAACTGTGGCATGGTGCTCGAATTTAGTTTTATCGGTAATGTATGAGCCTTTTCTCTGCATCCCTTTAATCAAAATGTGATGTCACTGTTATCAATTATAGAGTCAATGGAAAAAAATATTTAAAAGATGTAATTTTTTATTCTCTCCAGGCAACACTTATTACTAAGTGAAGATCAGAAAGAAACTGTTGGACTTCAGTATGATGGCATTGCATCCCTATCTGTGGATATCATAAGAGAAAACCTAGGGAAAGGCTTAAAAGATCTTAAGGCGTAATAAACTTTTGGTATAAATTTGAGATAATTATACTGCCATCAATAGAAACATGGATATTTAGTCAACTTGTATTTCTTTTAAATTTAAAAAATTAAATCCCCAGAGTGTAGGCAGAAAGCAGCATCAAAAGTGCCAAACATCTGATACTACTATTATAGTCATATGATTAGGGGACACTCCCTATTAAAAAAGAGACTTGATATCTATAGACAGTAGTGATATATGTATAAACTAATCAGATGTAGTGTTATACAAATGATTTATGAAATATACTTGCCTTCATTATTTCTCTTACACCTTTGTAGTCCACTCCACCTATGATCCTTCTGATCAGATTAAAACATTCTATCCAATAATCAGCATTTTGATAAACCAACTTTTCACTGCTCAGGATACAGTCACACAGCATTCTATATAATAAAAAATTATACAATAATATCAATTTGTAGTTTAAGTAATAAAATTATTGGTATTGATTGTCTAATCATGTAATAACTTTGTGACATAATGATATTAAATTTTAATTAATCTGCTATATTCTCATTTTAATGTAAGAAAAAGTTGAAATAAATATATAAATATAAATAATGAATTAAAATTGTTCATTGTTGTGCATTTATATATTCAAGAACATTATTTGGAAACATATCATAAGCAAATCAATAGATGGAGATGCAAGGAGTATATACTAGGCACAAGTTTCATGTATTAAATTACATCTTATTGGTTACCCTCTAAAACTTGTATAAAGTACATCTGATGTTTACAATCAACAATTTTTAAGGATAAACTGTCGATAGAGGGAGGTCTGTGGTGTGAGGTGTACAAGTGTCGTTGTGTTTTTGGCTATTTCTTATTCTGAGAGCTATTGATTTACTTTTTTGTTTATTATTTCTATTGGTGTTGGTTATAGTAGTTATAAATCCGTAAGTATTTAGTAATTGTGCTGTTTTATATGTAATTAGTTAAAATAAAATGGAGGAAGATCCTCCCGATTCCGACGGGGTTCCATGTGACTCCCATACTGTTACCAAAAAACATAATAATATGCCTATCGAAATTGATCAGTCGAAGCGTAAAAGATTGCAAGTAACCAATAACTCAGCTCATCCTCAGAAAAGATTAATTACAGATCCATCTCAACCGGTACTATCTATTCAGACCTCTTATACCCATCCTGACTACATAGAAAAAAAACATAAATATTCTAATAACGACAATGCGCCGTTTATTGTTCATGTAAGTAAGAGAGTAGATGATTTATCAACTGGAGTAGTTTTAAAACTGATAAAGTTTGGTCATTTTCTCTACCATAATAATATTAAAAATGTTGTTAGTGATGGTGTTAAGCGAATAGGAAGCAATAGAATTTCTGTCGAGTTTAAAAGTGCAGCTGATGCAAATTGTTTTATTGAGAACCCAGCCCTTGCAGGTGCTAAATATGATACTGTAATCCCTTCCTATAATGTAACACGCATGGGAATAGTGAGGCAGGTCCCTGTAGAGTGGACATTAGAGGAACTCATATCATCAATCGAGGTCCCAGCTGGTTTTGGCTCAATTATTAAAGCTCGCCGATTTAATAGAAAGTCAGTTAATGAAAACCAAAGTACTGTGTGGATTCCCTCTCAAACAGTTGTTTTAACTTTTTCCGGCCAGAAACTTCCTTCTAACATTTATTGTTTTTTCACCTCAATGCCTGTTGAGCCCTACATTTTACCTCTTATTCAATGTCACAAATGTTGTCGTTTTGGACACGTAACCTCACAGTGTAGATCATCTTCCCGTTGTTTTGTGTGTGCTCAAAATCATGAAGGAATATCATGCACAAGGCAGTCTCCCACTTGCCTATTTTGTTCAGGATCTCACACGGCTAAAGATCCTTCCTGCCCTGAACACTCTAGGCAGAGATCTATCAAACTTACCATGTCACAGGAAAATATTTCCTATCTAGAAGCATCTGCCCGTTTCCCTCAAGTCCGAAGATCTTATGCAGATGCTGCTAGAATCCTTCCTTCGTATGATCATCAGAGTCTCTATCCTATTTCAAATTCCACTTTACCTTCAGTTATCCCCTCACAATCTCATTCTTACAGAAAACTACATTTACTCCAAGACTTCCGCCAAATCCAGCATCAAGTCATGGATATGATAAATCTGCCTATGAGGCAATAATAGATACCCCTTCTTCTTCAACTACTAATGGTTGTGCTTTAACAGGGCGGAGTATTTCCCCTAATGACAATCTCTGTGAGTTAATGATCTCCATGCTTATAAGTATGCTTTCCCGTTTCAGCGATATGGATCTCCCACTTGCCCTCCGCCAAAAACTTACTGAGCTCATTTCATTAACAAATAACCTTCCCTCCAATACTTCAGTGGAACTGCCGGAGCATTAATAATAAGAAAAATGAATTAATTTACCTTATTAATAAATACCATTCCCTCATCCTAGCTATCCAAGAGACATGGCTTAAGCCTGGGTCCCATTTTAGGATCTCAGGTTATTCATGCCTCAGGGATGATAGGCTTGATGGTCATGCTGGCTCTTTCATTCTTATCTCAAAATCAATTACTTATACATTAATTTCCCTTCCTTCTCATAGTCCTTCAATTAATGCTGTAGCAGTTAGAGCTCATAACACTTCTTTTCTCTCTATTTATATTCCCGAAGCTAGTTTAAATATCTTGTCAGAACTTACGAGGATTATATCCTCCATCCCACCTCCTATGGTAATTCTTGGTGATTTTAATATGCACCATACTTTATGGGGCTCCCATTTTTGTGCTCCCTGGTCTTCTACATTTTTAGACATCAATGATGATTTAGATCTCTGCCTCCTTAACGATGGTTCACCTACACGTAGAGTATCCCCCCTCCAAAATCCTAAAAGTGCAGTAGATCTGTCACTCTGTTCCCCTGCCCTGTCGTCCCTTCTTTCTTGGAGAATATTACCCTTTTCCCATGGTAGTGATCATTTCCCTATTGTTATTAATCCCCCTAGCTGCTATACAGTCAATGTTCCATTTAATCCTAGGTTAAAATATAACACATCCAAAGCAAACTGGCAACTATATTCCACAGTTCTAGAGGAAGAACTATCAGCCCTTCCTCCTGTTCAGAAATATAATGTTCTCCAGGTGTATTCTACTTTTAAAAATGCTATTTTATCTGCTGCCAATAAGACAATCCCCATCAAAAAACCTTATAAAAATAATGCTCCTTCACCACCTTGGTGGGATCAAGATTGTTCTGTAGCATGTAAGAAGAGAAAGGAAGCTGAAGTAAGATATTCCCTATCTATGAATTTTGACAACTATATTTTTTGTAAAAAAATTGCTGCTGAAACATTAAAATTATTATCTGGGAAGAAAAAGGCTGGATGGCTTAAATTCTGTGAGTCACTGTTGCCTAGGACTCATCCATCATTAGTCTGGAAAAATATTAAAAATTCCGAAGTTCAGTTTGGCCTCTGAAAACACAATTTCTAATGATCAGTCTTATTGGCTTGAAAATTTTGCTAGTAATCTTGCTCCTCCTTCAGTACCATCTTACAATGAAAGTATAGCATTTCAATCACAGTCCTTGCACTATCAACACAGTTTTGACTCCCCTTTCTCTTATGAGGAGTTATATGCTGTTCTTAGTGTCCTTAAAGACTCTTCACCAGGAATCGATGGAATTCCTTATTCTTTTATTACTAATAGCAGTGAATCTACTAAAGCTCATCTTCTTTCTATTTTAAATTGTATTTACATGTCCGGTATTCCTCCTGAAGAATGGAAATCCCAAGATATTTTACCTATGTACAAACCAGGTAAGCCTCACACTGATCCCTCAAGCTACCGCCCCATTGCTCTTTCTTGTACCATGGCCAAATTCTTGAACACCTAATAAAAAATCGTCTAGAATGGTTTCTTGAAAGCAAAAACCTTCTAGCAAAAAGCCAATTTGGATTCCGAAAGGGCTTAAGCACCATGGATAGCCTTAGTACTCTAGTTACTGATATTCTTATAGCTTACTCTAAACATGAATACCTTGTTGGTGTCTTTCTAGATATCTCGTCTGCATATGACAATGTACTTCTTCTTGTGCTCAGGCAAAAAATGCTTAATCTGAGTATTCCAGTGAGGATAGTAAATTTTGTCTCTAACTTTCTCTCTTCTAGATCCATTTATATTGATAGTCAAAATTCTCTACTCCCGCCAAGAATTGTATGGAAGGGTCTCCCACAAGGCTCAGTACTTGGTCCTTTGCTCTATTCTATCTATACTTATGATCTAGAACTTCCTGTTAACTCTTCTGTAACATCCTCCAATATGCAGACGATATAGCTATACATATTTCCTTGGATAACCTTGCTACAGCTTGTTCCCGCTTGAATTTATCAATGTCCTATTTACAAGATTGGTTAACTGATCGTGGTTTGTCCTTGTCTGTTCCCAAAAGCAGTGTTGTCATCTTCTCTCGCCATAGGCAACTCCCTGAAATCGACATTCTCTATAATAATGAACCTATCCCTATTAGGGAGAATGTAAAATTTTTGGGAGTTATTCTTGACTCCAAACTAACCTTTTCTCATCATATCAACTATGTCTCAAAAAAATGTGAAAAAAATATAAATATTCTTCGCGCTTTATCGGGAGTTTGGTGGGGCTCCCACCCATTCTCTCAAAAAATATTGTACAACGCCCTTATTCGTAGTCTTTTGGATTATGCGTGCTTTGTCTTGGAACCATGTAATAAGTCTTCCCTAAAGATCCTAGACAGGATTCAGACGAAAAGCCTTCGCATAATCATTGGGGCAATGAAATTTTCCCCAGTAAATGCTCTCCAAGTCGAATGTGTAGATCCCCCTCTTTACCTAAGAAGACAATATCTTTCGGACCGATTTTTTTTAAAATCTATCAACTCTCTTCCCATCCTCTCATTTCTAAATTACACCTTCTTTTGGAATATATTTCAACAAAGCATTACTGGACTCATAAAGAATCTCCCTGCTTATCCAACAGTTTGGTAACATTACTCCATCTACCACACCCAGTATCACAATGCAAGTCCTGTCCCATCTTTGATATCCCATATGATGCAATTATTTTCCAACCAAATATCCACCTCGACCTTGGTATTGAGAAAGATTGCCATATAGCAAATAGTAAACTAAGTAGAGTCATAGATAATTTATGGAAAGGCTGGCTTATTATATACACTGATGCCTCCAAAAAATCAGGTGAAAGTTGCACTGGAGCAGCAGTTTGGATTTCAAGATACAAAATAATCCTCAATTTTAAATGCCCTTCTATTTCTTCCACTTTTACTGGCGAGGCCACGGCAATTTATGAAGCTTTGATTTATATAGAAGCACACAACTTAAATAAGTCATTTATTCTTACCGACTCCAAAAGCTGT